TCCGGTACCGGGAACCGAACTCATGACCTTGCACTTGCCAGGCAGGCGCTTTTGCCGCTGAGCTAAATCCCCAGCCCCAAGATTCAAAATTTTGACCACCAGTAGTTAATATTCATAATTAAAATTGCAAAATGACACTTTAAGTTGTATGAAAAGTAGCAGTCTTGTGCTGCAGTCCCAGTCTCCTTCAGATAAGATGAAAAGCAGATACCTATTTTGGTTTTCCTGGTGATATTTCTATGTCCTTAAATAAGGAGCCTATAACTGATTCTTGATTTATCAACTCTAAACATATAATAAATGAGGAATTAACCCATAAGACATTTCTTTCTAACCTACTCTTTCCAATATAATTGTGGCACTATTTTAGTGCTTTTGTAACCCTTAATGATATGTTCAATTTTTATCTTTTTTGTCAATACATGTATGCACACATTATTTATGTTATATATAGATAAATGTATGTATATATATAGTATGTAAATATATGAATATATAAAGATACATGTATGCATGTGTATATATATAGTACAATGGAATTATATTTAATGATCAGATTTACCCTTGAAAAGTTTAACTATCAAGTGGATTATACTTGGTTTTGTTTATACAATACTGTATAGTAATGTAAATAAACTATATGAAGTATATAATGTATCTTTCTAAACTTTAAAATCATATTCAGTATGAAAATGTTCCAGTGTCTCTCCACTTGGGAAAATTGACTGTGGAGAGCCAATTTGCTGACTGTTCTTGTTATTTATCATATATACCTTTTAGATGATTGGTCTTATTTTTCAGTGTTTCCTAATTAATTTTTCAACTTGTTTATTGAACTTACAGACAGTGTTATCTCTGTCTTCTTATTTCCCTGAACATTATTTTTACTTGTCAGTATTAGAGAAACTCTTAAAATAGACACATTCTTTCTATATATTTTGCCAGTATGCACTAATAATAATAATTTATTTATGTAGTCTTCTTATCTTTTTTAATTGTGTATTGAAAATTGAACCTAGGACTTTTCCTTTTAAAATTTTATGTGTGTAGGTATGTATGTGTGTTTGAGACAGGGTATCACTATGTATTCTAGGCTGCCCATTAACTCACTATGCAGCCCAGGATGGCCTTGAACTTGCGGTGATCCTCCTGCCTCAGCCTCTTGAGTGCTGAGATTACAGACATGCACCACTATACCTGGCTTTATTTTTTATTGTGAGACAGGTTTTTCCAAGTCACTGTTGCCCAGGCTGGGTTCACAGTTGTAATCATTTTGTCTCAGCCTCCAGAATGTTGGGATTAGAGTTGTGTACCACCATGCCTGGCTTCTATCTGATTTTCTTTCAGCATTAAGAGTTTAAGTTTCAAACCTATTTTGCATATATGGATAATTCTTCATAGCATCCACCGAATATATATATTACAGTTTGTTTTTCCAGTGTGTGGATGAAAATTTTATTTTATTTTACAGAGAAAAGAACAAAAACAAAACAACACAAAAACCATAAAAATGATACAGAATTTGAAAACAAGTTGATAGGACATCAGTGCTTGTTGTATTACTTATTGTTATCTTCAAAGTAGTTGCTTACATTACCAGCTATAGGTATGCAAGATTGATCAAACAATTAAACATTAACTGTTCCTTTCAATAAACCAATAGAAATTAGTAGTACAGTTATCTTAGCCATCCCGTTTGTGCGCATGTGTGTATATCTATATATATAATTTCCCTTCCTTCTTTCTTTTCTTTTTTCCCTCATCCCAGTTGTTCTTTCCTATTAAGCAGTTTCTTTCCTTTTCACAATATCTATTGTACCTTTCAGTTTTATTTACTCTTTCAGGCTCTTATACTAGGGAGACAATGCAATGTGTACACATGCATGTCCAACTTATTTCACTTATGAGTATGGTTTCTAGTTGCATCTATTTACGTATAAAAAGCCTTGAGTTTATGTTTCTTTATAGCTCAGTAATATTCCATTGTATAAAAATACCACATTTTTTAAATCCACTCCTTAGTTGATGGGCATTTGGGTTGTTTCTAAAATTTTGCTATGACAAATTGTGCTGCTATGAACGTGGGTGCACATATATCGCTTTGGTATAATGTTTTTAATTCTTCTGGGAAAATACCCAGAAGGGGAATGGCTGGGTTAAATGGGATCTCTAATCCTAATTTTTTGAGGAATCTCCAGATTGATTTCCAAAGTGCTTGCACCAGTGCACATTGTCACCAACAGTGGAGAAGAGTTCCTTTTTCCTCACAGACCCTCCAGCATTTGTTGTTGGTTGATTTCTTGATGGTAGCCATTCTTACTGGGGTAAGATGAAATCTCAGTGTTGTTTTAATTTGCATCTCTTGAATGACCAATGATGTTGAACATTTTTTCATTTATTTATTTACCATTTATATTTCTTCATTTGAGACGTGTGTATTCATCTCAGATGCCCATTTTTGGATTGGGTCTTTGAATTTGGGGGGTCTGAGTTTTTTCAATTCTTTATATTTCTAGATATAAGTCCTTTGTCCGGGATAGTTAGTTAGAATGTTTTCCCACACTGTGGGTTGTCTTTTCACTCTAATGGTGATTTCTTTTGAAGTACAAAAGTACAAGGATGAGATCCCAGTTGTTGATTCTTTGAAGTGCTTCCCATGCAGTTTGGGTTTTGTTCATGAAGACTGTGCCTACTACTATGTCTTCAAGATTTCGACCTGCTTTCTCTTCTGGTAGATTTAGTGTTTCTGATTTAATATTTAAATCTTTGATTCGTTTTTACTTTAATTTAGTGCATGGTGATAGACATGGGTCTAGTTTTAGTCTTCGCCTAAGAGAGCCAGTTTTTCCAGCACCACTGATTAAAGAGGCTGTCTGTTTTCAAGTGAACATGTTTGGCCCCTTTGTCAAAGATAAGTTGGCTGAGTGTGTTTGTAGTTGTGTCTGCATCTAGGATGAAAATTTTAAATTCATGTTTTGACTAATGCTTCTGAATAAAAGTTTTATACATATGTAGATTTCTGTTTGGTATATGCCTAGGAGTAGAATAGCTGGGTCAGTGGCTACGTGTACATCCTATTTTAGTAGATACAACCAAGCAGTTTTACAAAGTGATTGTACCAGTTTACCTTCTCAGCAACAAGGTATGAGAGTTGCACTTGCTCCATGTCTTTGCCCATATTTGTTTTTCTCTTAAAATTAAAGAATGACATTTTAATGAGTATGTAGTAGTATTTCATTTTTTAAAATAAGCTTTAAAAATTGATGAATACACATAGAAACATGTGCATTAAATATATAGTTCCATGAGTTTTTATCAAATGGCCAAATTGTTTTCCAAATAGACTCTTTCATTTTGCATTCCGACCAGCAATATGCAAAGGCTTCAGTTCCAGAAATGCCCTGGGCAGTACTTGTCAATGCCTGTCATTTCTGATTATGGTCAGTATGGTGGCTATCACCATTAGGAGCAGTGCTTCCAGGATTCTCTTCTATGTGTCTTTAGGTGACTATATGAATATGTTTTATTAGGGATATGACTAAGGAATGGATTTCTATGTTATAGTTTATATGTTCA